GATAGTTGCAGCTGATAATGTTGGGTGTCACTAGTAGTTTCAGCCAGCACCATTACATTATTCAAGAGTTTAAAACTAAGCCATGCAATGCGAGATTATCATTTTCCTATACTAATTTTTAAAAATTAACAGGTGAAGGAGGTCTGCTATTGCCATTTTGTGAAGATACCAAGGGAACATTATGTCACTCAGAATCCAAGTGAGAAATTTTATTTAGACTGATTTCAGGGAAAGCTTTACTTCACCTGAGAAATCAATTAGCCTTTTTCTTATGGAAACTGTAAATCATTAATTGATTGTTATCAGTTTTTGCTTTAGCTGTGAGAAATCTCAGATTAAAATTAGGCTTACTTTTAATAATTATGTAGGACTCAGTTGCTTGTATGTCTATATTCTAACTTGTTCTTTATATTTTTCTAGATTGTTTTTTTATCTACTTAATGTTTTTCCTTATGTTTTTATAAAGTTCCTCAAATCTCTTCTGCAATAAGGCTAAATAGTAATACTTTTTTGAAAAGCTCAAAAAACTGCTTTATTTCAAGGTGTGAGGATAAGCCCCAATGGGAACTTTTTGGGGCAAGGAGCCAGTAAAACGGTGCCTCTCCAGCTGGAATTCCTGAGGAGTGGAAATAATATATGAGTTTGGCAGGTCTTAAGATTATACCTTGGTTTAGGTTGCTGACCTGCCTGAAAGTAGGGAGTTTGGATGGAAGCTACACCGTTTTCATATTTACAAGGGAATTCAGAAAGTAAACTGGGTACCAAGGTTTATTTGTTTAGACTTTTTCATGTGTATTATTTTCACTATCTTCTCTTACTTCATAATAATAACAAATAAGCCTGTGTTTACTTTTGAAGAAGAGTTCAAAACCAGTTTGGAAAAAGACTCCTGAAGGAGAAGATGGCAGTGAAAGCAATTTTAAAAAAAGGGAAGTAGGCTGAGTTCTCAGAAGAAAAGAGCAGATTGATCTGGCCTTAGGCCCAAGAGGTAGTTTTTGGTCTTTAATAAGAGTAAAAAAACTTATGTTACCAGTACAGAATAAAATACGGGGCACTTTAACTTAATTAGAGCAAAACAATTTTTTTATTTTATTAAAGATAAAATATAGAAATGTAGAAGGAAAAACCAAACAGACATAGGCCTGTCTAGTGATATAATTTCTGAATAAAAAAATATGGATGACAAGAATTCTGATTTTATTGTTCCGTTAAGCACTGGGCTCCCACTGGACTTCTGAAGTGAGATGGTATCAGAATTGTTATTTCAGCCTTCAATTTTCTTGTAACTGGTTAGGAGAGAGATCTGTTACTTAATATTATAATCATGACCTTGACTGATGGCAGGTTTTAGAGAATTTGTGCATGTGTGGTTTAATTTAAATTTTCCCCATGACTAAATTTCCCTGCAAATCTAGCTTTTAATTTTACTGACAGCATTTATTTTAAAATAACAGATTATAATATATTGTAATAATGGGAATGGAGGGTTCCTGAAGATTGAACCAGGGAGAATTACAGACGCAGTGGTCCACAGGATAGGCCTTACTCTCCTCCCCACTCTGCCTCCTCCATGCTCTCCCTCCCTGTTGGTGGAAATGGCACCTGCGTGCTGGGATCGCATAGGAACTAAGGTGTCCCATTCATTGGTTTTCCACTAACACTTTTTCTAATCTTGTGGCTGATAGTTGAGTTTTTTGAGAATGAAAAGAATCACTTCACTCTTTCATTGTATCCCTGACCTCCCCCTTTCCCTACATTCACTGATCTGAATGAATACTTAAAATACTTTTTGTTCAAACAGTATTATTTTCCAACTTTTTCCCCTGATCCAATAAGGTCGCTAGGAAATGGACTGTGGAAATTTCACTAGAGGCCTACTGGAGGAGAGAATAAATTTCACTTTTAGTGTGAGTTTCTGATTCTTTGTGCTCTGTAACTAATCTGACTTGTATTCTTGTATTTCTCTGATTGTAAATTTTATTTGTTTTCTCCCTCAAGACCAGTCTAGGAGGTTTTCATATAACATTGATTTTTTTTTTCCTTTTTGCTTTTCCTTTTATTTGCATCATTCAGCATTCATTTGTTCATAGTGAGATAGCATGGTATAATGGAAAAAACAAACATGCGCTTTGAATCCATAAATATTTCCACTCAAATTATGGATTCTCATTATTAGCGGTTAATGAACTTATCTGAATTTCAGGTTCCTTGTTTTATAAAAGAATAAATATCTCCTACTTCATATAATGTCATAATGATTAGATTATGCATAGACCTTAATAAGGAAGTTATATAAAAGAGTTTTTAAACTTTACTCTGAAAATGTATAGAATTTACCTTTTTCCTAATGGGATGCCTTCTTTTTTTTTTTTTTAAGAAGTACTCAAAGGTAGCAGAGGTGGAAAGGAAATGCTTAGTAGGACCCCAAATTTGCTCTAGAGAGAGTTAGAGAAGACATAAAAAAATAAAAACACTTGTTAATTGAATATCTGTTATATATTCAACATGAACTAGGAGCTATAAGATAAGTCAAGATAAATCTTTTGAATATACATTTCCTGAGATTTGGATTACCGTGAATCCGAGAGTTTTCTAGATCATGGGAAAGATCTCTAGCTCCATAATTGAAACAACACATACTGCCACTTAAAAAAATTTTTTTTGACTGCATAAATTTACCTTTTGATAGATAAAAGGAAGATCAGAACTGATTAAAAATTTGGATATAGCCAGCCTGTCAGAGAATTTAAAAGGGTTGTCTAGAGATGAAAAAATAGACTTAGGAATACATCATATACATAGCAAATGAAAAAAATATCTATTATGTCAAAATATTTTAAATATAATTTTTAATTTAAAATTAATTTTAGGAATATGAAAATGTAATGTGTGAATCCTAAAAATGATCAGGAGGGCATGCATACAGCTCCTTATAGTCCAAGATAACCAGTTAAGTAAGACTGGGTAACAAAAAAATCATTTCTATTTTTGGAATGTCTTAATACGAGTATAGTTTTTCAACAGAATTTCCTTTTTAATTACAGGATTAAAAGGAACCTAAAGATATATGGTCCAGAACCGTGGTGTCAAATAAATGGTTGATTATTTTTCTGGATATGCTCTTCCCATAAATTGTTGCAGAAATGGAAGCTGCCATTCCAGTATTTTAACAATCCGTGGGGTCATTACATCATTATTTTTACTACATTTAGTTTCTTTGTTGAAATAGAGAACAGTTGTAGTTAGCATCTCTTTATCTACTGGAGTACTAGCTCTCACTCTAGTTTCTTAGTACCATATCCTTTAGTTTTCTCAAAATCTATTTTCCATTCTTATAAATGCTTTTATTATCCATCTTTGTACCTCCTTATTATGTTTTTATTTCTTTTAGAATTATAAGGTGTACTGAAATTGTCATTTTTACCTGCCTGTCTCCCCTTTGAGGGCAGTACACTCTAGCCTCTTGTCTGGCATGTAGAATATATTCAATAAATGTTTATTGAATGAATAAGTGTATGTTTTCATTCTATTCACACATTTTGATAAAAATGCGATTTTTTCATTTTTGGTCAGGTAAGGCAAGAAATTTAATTCTTATAGGTGAAGAAACAGGCTTAAATTTGTTGAGTGACTTTCCCATGTTTACAGAGCCAGCACTTTTTTGGTGCAGGGATTCCAAATGGACAACTGCTCAATTTAATAGCATTCTCCCACCTTGCTTCTCATGGCGAAACTCTTCAAAGCTCCAAATGCAATTTGAAGTTTAACAGCATGATTTTTCTCCAGTGTGTGTGTGTGTGTGTGTGTGTGTGTGTGTGTGTGTGTGTGTGTGTGTGTGTGTGTGTGTGTGTGTGAGTAAAGCTTCCTTTGCCTTGCTTTTTGGCCAGCCTCCCCCTAAAAGGCAAATGTGATCATGTTACTCCCTAATTAAAAAACCCTTCAATGGTTCACCATTGTCTGCCAGATTAAGTTTAAACTCCTTGGTATACTTGCTAACACAAGGCACTCAAATATCTGGCCCCTTCAATTTCTAGTCTTATCGCTCATCATATCCTCTCTTGCATTCACTTAGCTGGTGGTATCAAACTTCTCTCAGTTCTCCGATCCCCGCCCCCTTGCCCCCC